TGTCGGAACAGTGTCCACTGGTGTAATATGCGCTGCTGCAACCGTGTGGCTTGTGGTAGGAATTGTTGGCTGTAGGTGGTGGTTGAGGACAGCCGGCGGGCCTGAGCGGCGACGGTCCATTTCTGTGATTTCGGTAAGGAGGAGCGTTGCGAGCTCTGTATCGGGGACACTGGACTGGCCTTGAAAGCTTTGTTTACTGCTTTTGGGATGGAGTACAGCTGGTGGTGGGGCGAGAACGATGTTAGTTTTGAGTATTTCGTAGTCCTACACCCAGCCCATGCACGTGGTGTAATTATAATAGTACAGGACAAAAACGAATAACAAGTTCACCAATCTCTGGGCACGAACTCGGGGTTTTGGCCTATGTGATTAAAAAAAAAGAAGAGGGTGGAGAGGAAAGCACGAACAGATAGCCGTTTTAGATTGGTCATTGGCATTTCTCTTGATCGAGCTAGTGGCCCTGCTGCTGGTTGTGAGCTGGTGTGAGTGGGCTAGCATGGTAGTTAGTCTTCCGGCTAATGTGAGAAGCGATTGTAAAACCAGTGATGAGACCTAGACCAGCTTCGTAGGAAGACACAGTATAGTGCTTATAAGAACACCGGGTACGCTCGAGTGGCTGGCTTGAAAGCATGGGAGCTGGTGCTCAGTGTCAGTTCATGAACATGTTTAAGCGCAATTGTCTACCAGGAGGGTGACTGAGATACCAATGCCGCATATCTTCCCGGCTGAATTCATCATACGTAGTAGGAATAAATATTCAATAGTGAGAAATAATATTCTGTGGTGAATGATAGAGATTTTGTGGCGAATTACAGTGCCAGAAATAAAATGTGGAGAATCAAATGTTGAGTTCGTTGGAGCGCGGTTTGTGGTGCTCAGGTTGTGCAAAAGCTGTATTCGCGAACCACATGGACACAATCAGATAGCATTCTAATCTATTGTATCTAGTGATGGGACCTCCTGCCAGGGTACTGTATCATTGATACCGGCCATCCTGGGCGGGTAGAACCGGGAGTGGTGCCTTTGATCTACCGAGCGTTCTTAGCCGGTACTAAGCGCACGCGGTGATTGATAGATTCAGGATTGAATGAGAGTTGGAATAATTTTACAATTCGGTGCACGGAGCCGGAGCTCTTTTTAGTTTGGGGAAAGATGTGTATCCATATCCCATAGCATAAGTGATAAACATGGACTGTGTAATCGCGGTCGTTAAAGGCCAACGCCAAACCTTCTTTTTCGTTTTATTTGCGGGACAATAACATCTACAACAAAATAGATCATAATTCCACCCCCGTGGTGGCCGAGCTTTTCTGGAATTGTGGTAGGGATCGAATCCCGAGAGAGGTATTTACCAGCAATCTACAGGTATTGTTCTCTCCAGCCGCTGGATGTTTGGTAGGGATGGAATTTCGAGAGGGTGCAAATATGATATGTTTTGCTGCATATATACTGGGCCGGTGAGTGATAAGTGACGGAACGAACTGATACAGGATGATATCTGTTCAGGGTAAAATGCCACAAATACACGGTGGTCCCATGTATGGCTGTACTATCTTTCTACTACCGTATAGCAAATAATCCGCAAATGCATCAACTTCCGCCCATCAATTATTTTTGCAAATGCATCAGAGATTGTTCTTTCTACACGGAATTTTAATTTATCGGGAGTGTAACGGCAAGGTATCTAAGTGATAAACTTGGTGTAATTTCAGTAACGGTAGCTGGGGGAAGTTATCAGCCTCAACAGGGATGAGGGCGGCGGAGTTCAACCTCTGCTCTGTAAAGTCGAACGACCAGATTTTAAGGACAGGCTATAATATACTATGACAGGATAGACATGTTTCAAGCACAGTCAAGAGACGTATTTATTCCTGGATACGCCGGAGGGGACTTATCCAAGCGTACAATCAAACAAAGCGATAGAAGAGGAGACAGTCAAGATACAAAGGAGTATGCATAAGGCCTTAATTGAGCTTCATGGGTACGAGCAGTTTACGTATGAGGATAGAGGCAAAAGGCATAGGAGATAGAGCTAGATTTGTTTGAAACAAGTAGTTGCTTTTCTCTAATTTTGTTTTACTTTCAATTTGAGCATAGCGGTGGATATAAGATAATCCTTGGTTAGTGCGATATTGCGATAGACGATAGACTGCATGCTATTAATGAATCAAATAAAAAAAGGACCTTGTCTCGGTCATGAACTATCACTCGGTCATGAATTTAGTTTAGTTCATTGATTACAGGTACAGCGGTGGGTAATAAGTCATCGGGCGGAACGCCACCAAAATTCGCGGTTGTAGGCAAAATTGTGGCTAGGTCATCCGATGACCGATTACCCACCGCTGTACCTAGTGAGGTTTGCAACCCTGGCGCGGAGTTTTGTTTTTTAATCCAGTTTGCACCGGGTTCATCTAGTGGGCCCAGACTATAATGGTAATAAAATAGGCATCGAAATACGAAAATATGCCAGTTTGGCAGCTGTTCCGATCATGGCTTTAGCATATATCATGTACATACATCAGAGAGTGATTAATTGATTAATGCTCCTGAAAAGTTCTGAGAATCTTTAGAGCGTTGTTCAAAAGTAATTTCATTAACATTGTCGACACTGAGTACTCGACGAGCAGAATATATAACGACTTTAAGATTAAACTGATATGGCGTGAAGCGTTCTTTAGTGGGTTTCGGGCGATAAACTCGGGTGGAAAGTAGCGATTTTTGCTAGGTAATATAGTACATGGAGATTTTCATCATCAGAGCAATTGCGCAAAAGGTAATGAGTCTGGCCATTTGTGGCCTGCCTTTTTTATCCATCTGCAGATGCCACCTACCTACCAAAACTACGTACAGAATATACAACAAAACCTATCATAATTCCACCCCCGTGGTGGCCGAGGCTTGCTTGAATTATGCCAGGGATGGAATTTCGGGAGGGTGGAGTTATGATGGGTTTTTCTGTATATAGTAGGACTATCATAAACCCACCCGCATGGTGCCCTAATTCTGCTTATTTATTAGGAAGAAACAGTCGTATTTTCACAATTCTGGAAGCGAATTGGTTGGAAGGAATGGAATTCCGAGAAATAATAATTATTATAGGTTTATCTGTATGTCTGTAGACACGGGGTAGACGGAGGTGAACTCATAGTTGGCATGATATTCTGACTAAAGCTAGGAACGTGGCCCGACCTAGCTACCATAGTCTGATATCCCAAAGTCGCAGATATAGGGGTAAGGTTTTCTGGACTTTAAGTTTAATTATCCTCCTCCGTCATCCGGCATGATATGAAGCCCCTTTTGCGAAGATCAGTTGTTGGAATAAAGGCTGGCAACGCTCAGAGTAGGAGTGTTGGTAGTTGGGATAGTTCCAGTGGGTTTCTGATTAGATTTCTATGCACTTAGTAGACACGTATTATTTATTTAAAAGGGCCCTATAGAGGCATGGCTTAACTCCCGTGGTTATTGGTATTTTAGTATTATCTAGCTCTTCATGAATCAGAGGAGACCCGCCAATATTGGTATAGCACTTAAGGCCAAGGTCGGAAAATAGGTATAATGCACCAAGAGGGGCATATTGCACCCTGCACCCCTGCGCCCCTGCATCTCCGCATTCCCAACCCCACATTCCCAACCCCCACATCACCGTCCTTCTACCTTCATTCAACCACAAAAGAGATTCATCACAACAACCAAATACCTTAGCAAGCAGTCACAACTAGGTTTCCTTTAAATTCTTACCACGATAATGGCCCACCTTGACCTCTACAACCATGTCACGACCGAAACGCCTTCTATCCGCCCTAAGCTAGCCACTCTCCCCACCAAACCTACAGCAGAAACACCCATGAAGAAGCTCCTCAACCGCCTCTTTACCCTCTCCATTGGTACTCAGGCTCCCAGTCCCTCAACACCAATGGAGCTCGACAGTCCCATCGCTACTAAGATCACCCCAGTCCTCGCGCGCCTCGCTCTAACGCCCGATATCAAGACTCCCACAAGAAAGTTGTTTGGGATGTTTTCGGCGGACACGGCCATCAGGGAGTGTTTTAAGAAGGAGAAAGAGCTTGAGAGGGTCAAGAGGGAGAGGGAGGAGGCGAGGTGCTTCTGTGTCACCTGTAGGGGTGGGCGGTGGGGTGGGAGCTATTGCGCGGGCGTGACGGTGGTGGAGTTTATGGATTTTGAGTATCAGGAGGGCAAGGAGGGCAATGGGGATGGAAAGGGGGGGAGATGTGGGTGTGTGATGTGCAGAAGTGAGGGGCGTGAGGGGGAGGAGTGGCTGTGGGTTGGTGGGGATAATGCTTGAAATTGGTGTGTGTATTGAGAAAAAAACCTTGTTGGTGGCTTTGGGGGATTCAGGGTGGGCTTCAACGCCATAACTGGGATATGGTGATCAGAAAATGGTAAGGTTTATTACTATTCTAGATGATACTGTGCTGCTGTTCGTCCTGTATGATCTTGTATCAAGGTTACATGCCCTTGAAATTGTATCCACTCTTTATATTAAATATTAGAGCGGCATAAACTACAAGATCGATACGCATCGTCTTCAGCAACTTTGAAAATAAGTAGTATGAAAAATCCTAACATATAAATTCCAAGTGTCCTAGCAAGCTAGGAATACACGCAAACTCAAAGTTCTACTGCCTGTGCTTTGATGGGCGTACTATGATCCTTAAGCTCTCTATCAACTGTATGCATACCCCAAGCGCTGAAGCTGTGGCTTTGGGTCTTTCTCGCAAAAGGTTTCTCAATTGACTCAGTATGTTATTTGGGTATTGTATGAAACTATTAGATATTAATAAAAATGAGTTCATGGCCGGAGTCCTGGAGATTGTCGTCTATTTTGTTCAAGGGAATTCCCGAGGACGGCATTCCCGAAGTTCGTTGCCAAAGCTGATTCAACTCCACCACCACCAAGCATTATCCATCATCATATTTGATAACATAATCGAAGGCTCGATAGCGGCAAAAAACAAAAGAATTAGTTAGGCTTAAGTTTAGACTCGACCCGGGTTTAAACCGAGGACCGGTCGCATACAACTCAGGGTGTGGCCCTAAGCGAGAATCATACCACTAGACTAGCCGAGCTCGGTGAGAGTATGTGCCTTTTGAATGTTGATGCAGAGCTTCACTAACTACGTTTAGAGACAAAAGGTTATCACTGATTGTGATTTTGTTCTACTTGTGTCTAGTTGTGAAGTTCCCGTTGCGGGGAATTGAACCCCGATCTAGCCGGTGAGAACGACTTTTGCTGATAGCATCCCGCGCACAAGAAAAATGTACAAATCGGCTGTAATCAGCAATAAATAGGAAATCCTCTGCGCTCCTGTCCTTTTTTTAGAAATTGCAGAATTCTAGGATGGTAAACAAGAAGTTACCTTGAGCGATACATGCTCACTGCAAAAATCTCATATAGGGGAGATCGTTTGTTTGCCGAAATAGGTTTTGACAGGCTGTAAAGTGAGGTGCAGAAGGTTGCACAACCACCAGTGTAGCATACTTGTAGGTAAATACATAGGTCGGTAAGCTGTTGGTACATTAATCCTATACTTTTGTTTATACAGGTATCTTTATTTAGTCAATCTCTATATTTATTTCCCCAGGTTTTGCTAAAGTCACCCATGGGTCCTAATACTCTTTAAGTATTCATTACATTGCAAAAGAGATTGGAAGAAATCTCCAAAGATCCTGGGATGATAAAGCTCTATCAAATACTCATATCCCCTCAAATCGGAGGTTATTACTCTGGGGGGTGGAGTGTTGTTTTTGGGCTTTACTGCCAGCGCCCCTGGTGCGTCCAGATCATTGCTGAGGTTTCATTTAATCCAAGTATCGCGTACGAGATGACATTAATGATGGCAACCGTCAGCTATATAAACAAGACTAATCCGCTACGATAGGCGGTTAGGAGCGGGAACCACTCTCCGGTTTGGGGGGTATAATCTAGGTGAAGATTACATTACCTACGCGATTGTAACGGTTGGTAGTAATTGTGATTGGTACTTTCATTCGGTTCTGCTATCAGTGTCTTGCATATTGCCGAGTTACTTAGAATACTGAGGATCTGTGGAAGCTCCTGATCACTACTAGATGTAAGTGCAGAAATCACTAATACTATACTTTAGGTAAAACAATTAGCGTTGCATAAAGCTTAAATAAGTTTTATGTAACCTCATGATAATTATTAACTACTGTTTCATATATCCCTTCGTATGGCAAGCTAAATATTCTATAATAGGGGACTTATATTTGTATGGAGGATAACGAGAGATAAGGGTATCTGTTGATAAAGCCAGATGAGAGTTTCTGTTTTCGGAGCTAACACCTTCTAGAGGTGATCAACATATCAGGCGAAGGGATAATTGGGTAATACAAAATTAAATTAAAACCAGTTCCAACTACAAAAATGGTTGTGATCTAATTTGTGCTACGATAGAGCATTTTCGCGCTCCGTTGAACCCTGACCCTGACCTCTGCATGGCAACCAATTCGCCCCACCGAATTTCTCGCCCGTAGTCAACACCCGGGCCGGTCAACACCCGGGTCGGTGAACAGCCGGGCTGGTCAATGCCCGGGCCCAGTCAATCAATGCCCGAGCCCAGTCCATCAAAACAAAATTTAGGAATATGAAAGTATATGTTAATAAAGAAAGAAAATAGCGGATTACCCATTAATGAAAATTAAGTCATTGTTATTATGTATTTTCTTTTTGCCCCCATTCAATGACTCGGACATGCTACTGCAATCATGAAATACTATAAGTAGGGATTGTTCCCCCCCCATCCCACCATCTGTTAAATAGATTCTGATCAACGATAAACACCAATGGATTACATAACGTGCCGTAAATGCAAACAGGAGAAACCTCTTGAGAATTATGATCATGATAATCAAGGAGAATCAAATAAATCATCTCGTATATGTTTGGTATGTATAGTAGAACCGTTCTGGCTGATTGTTATAATTTGGTTTAACAAATTGAATAGAAACTAGAAAAAGAAAGAAGAATTGCATGTAGAGCCATGAGATCAATGGAGGCGAAAGAAAATATAGAGGTATTACTATTTTTGGTTATTGAATATTTTGCCGAATGGTTTCTAACAGTTGTCCAACTCTGTCCAGTCTTAACAGTGGCAGTACTCTCTCCGATAGAATCTGTATCTTCCCAAACAAAATGTTACTAACCATTGACAATTTGGGGTATAAGAATTCTTTGCCAATCATGCAACGTTTTGCATTGTATAAATGAAAGTTCAAGTTGCAATGGAAGCTCAACTCAAACGCCAATTTTGTGAATTGTTGCAGAATGGGAGACATTGTACTTGATATGCCGAAACCTACTTCTGATTATCCGAAGTACCTACCAGTGTTGGAACTTTTCAAAACCATTCCAAGAAACCTTCAGAAACGTATACTGTAATATGAAATGGTACTCACGTTTTCCTTAGTTAAAGCTAATACGGACATCAGAGTTGGCGCAAATGGTGAATTAGATGCTTTCCAATACATGGTGAACTATATCGTTTCCAAGCACCTTTAGAGACAGCAGCCGGATGTTACGTGGGGTCCATGGACAAAGATGTAGGGATCCAAAGAATACAATCTAAACAGGAGGTTTAGAGGTGGACTCTAAGCAAGCGAAGAATCTTGGAACTTTCTTGACAGATAAGACCAATAGATCGTAGGCGTTGGACTATGGAGGCATAGAACTAATAATATTCCTTAAATACAGGATAAATATATAGATAAATTTTATTTCGCATAGAAGCTTAAGGCTTATCGCGCGCCAACCACGCTGAAGACTAGACTACACTAAATGTAACGGCGTGCCAAGACTCAAGGAGAAGTTCGGGAAGGAGAAGGATTAGTAATCGGGTTTTCGTTGGTTAAGTTTCTTTCGGGTTTTCGTACAAGTGGGTGTTTTCTTTCTATGGGTTTCTGTTACACGGATGAGTCATTGGGTTTGGGAAGGATATACATATGGCTGTAATTTCCCTTTGTCCTTTCTTACTTTTCTCCTTATCCGAACTTCCTGTTATATAGGAATATATTTCGGTTTGGTTCTTTCGCGTAACGGTTCCACCTGGCATATCATACCAGGCGAAGCCATTATTCCTCTACGAATCCAAGTCGTATAACCCCTCGGTTGTGCCCCGTGATCCCTGCCTTAATATCGTCTCCGTTCCGCTTAACGTGGAACTCCTGAACCTGTTTCTGTTTGTTTCCTGCGATATTCTATCATTAGGAATTCTTGTTTAGTATCTATCGGTATCAAGCCCGATACTCCCGAACCCTGACCCTGACCCCGCACGAGGTGAAGTGATTTCACCCACGTGACTCTGACTCAGCTTTTACTGTTCTCTAACCGAGAACCCCCGAACACCTCCCCGGTTCCTCCGAGTCTGCCCGTAACACTAAACTACACTAAACTACATAAAGACATATGGGTACGCGCGAAGAGGGCGTAAATAACGCGAGTGGTACAGGTGAGCAGAATCCAAGCGACATCAAAGAAACCTCCCCATTGTAATAAGAAACCCAAAATTCTCCGTCAGACTAAACTAAGTGAGCTTTCCTTACCGAACCGTTCACCGAAAAGGATCATTACTAGAACCGGTGGACTTTATCTGTGGACGAACCTTTACAGAGTCGGGTTGAATCCGGGCATGAAGGCGTAAAAGATGCCAACTGAGCCATCTTCTGGTGCGAAAGCAGGGGGGTGGTGTTAAGAGTGGTGCCCTGGGAGTCTACTTGTCAGGTAGCAGGGCGATTGAAGTGAGGCGGAGAAGGGAGCGCAGCGCGAAGCTGGCTATTGAAAAACCTTTCCGTGTTAAGTGGGTGGGGTCGTCGGTCCCAGGAGCAACGGCTAAAGACTTTGCCCGAGTTATATTTGAATGTGGAGTCCTCTGGAGGGGACGTGCAAGTGGGGGTGAGTCTGGGACTCAGTGTATACCTGGTGGTCGCATGCGGAAGTGCCAACCGTTGTGTTAAGGGGTGGTCTCGGGGGACCAGTTGGGTTTGGGTGAGGGGAGCAGGCCACCTCGGTTATGAATGGGGAGTTGGGGCTCCCAACTCAGTATGTGTTTGGGTGATCACAATCAAAAGTGCCAACCGTTGTGTTGAGGGGTGGTCTCGGGGGACCAGTTGGGTTTGGGTGAGGGGAGCAGGCCACCTCGGTTAAGAATGGGGAGTTGGGGCTCCCAACTCAGTATGTGTTTGGGTGGTCACAATCAAAAGTGCTGACCGTGTTGTTGAGGGTGGTCTCGGAGACCAGTGGGGTTTGGGTGAGGGGAGCAGGCCACCTCGGTTAAGAATGGGGAGTTGGGGCTCCCAACTCAGTATGTGTTTGGGTGATCACAATCAAAAGTGCCAACCTTTGTGTTGAGGGGTGGTCTCGGGGGACCAGTTGGGTTTGGGTCAGGGGAGCAGGCCACCTTGGTTAAGAATGGGGAGTTGGGGCTCCCAACTCAGTATGTCTTTGGGTGGTCACAATCAAAAGTGCTGACCGTGTTGTTGAGGGTGGTCTCGGAGACCAGTGGGGTTTGGGTGAGGGGAGCAGGCCACCTCGGTTGAAATTGGGGAGTTGGGGCAGCCAACTCGGTAGTATGTAGTGGTCACATTTGACAGTGCCGACCGTTTGTTAAGGGGTGGTCTCGGAGACCAGTGTGTGTGTGGTGAGGGGATCAGGCCACCTTGGTTAAAAAATAGGTTGCCTGGTTAAGGCTGGAGAAAGAGGGGTAAGGTCAAGTGGGGACCTTGGGTAAAGAATTTGACTATAGTTTCGCGACTGTAGGATCGCTAACTTCGCGGGCTGTCGAGCGCTTTGGCCGTAGGTTCTCCCAGACTAGAGATCACGGACAGTGTGCGAACCAGACGTGTATGATGCGCGTGCGATTAGCACCCGAAAAAAGGGGGGAACGACCGTCTGGCGGTGGCCCTCGTTTTGGCGAGGTTTTGGTGAGTGATGGATTCAATCCCGAAGGCATCAAGGTGGTGAAAAAGGGGGGAAAAGAGAGAGGGAGACTCGAGTCATAACGGGGACTAGCTATCCGTAGCCGAAACTAGAACTCATGGTATCCGTTTACCGA